CTCTGAGATTAGCTGGGAGGATCGCGCTGCGCTCGAGAGAAGCGGCGCCGGCTGGGTGTGCCAAGGGCTTTCTGTACCTGTGCGCAGCAGACGTGGAGCGAGAGAAGGAGAGCCAGAGAGAGGGGGGAAGCGTGAATCTTGACGGGGCCTTCTCCGCCTATTGCGTCGTGGAGATCTAGGCCAGGGCTGGAACCGGCCGGGCCTCGCAACGGTGCAAACGAGAGGAGAGCCTAGAACCCATGGTGTGCCTGTCTGCACGTCCAGGGCAGAAAATGGCAGGCGGCGAAGGAGCACAGGCTGAGTCAGGAGAGGAGGCCGCCAAGGAGGGCCCCAATATCTGGCCGGGGGCGAGAAAGGGGCCTGAGCTGTGGGGATCGGCCCCCACTCCCGTTGGAAGGGCAGCCTAGAGATGGTGGCGTTGCAGCCAGCCGTTTCTTGCAGCCCCGGCCCCTGAAACGTCAGTGTCAAAAATCTCTTACCAAATTTAGAAGGGGTAGAAAGGCTGGTGGATTTCCCATCCTATCTTTGAACCTGTTTGGTTTACTCTTTTATTTAAAAACACCCGACAATCTAAAAATTGAGCTAATGCTCAGCTTGACCCCCCCCCCAATTTTTTAAAATAACAACAATATCAAATCCAGAAGGAAAGTGAACTGAGTATTTCAGTTCTGACGTTGACTCTCTCACTCCACTCACTCTCTCTCCAACATTTTTCTTTTCTTTCTCTCTCTCTCCTCTCTCCCACCAACATTCCTAATTCCTGTAGTATGTTCAATATTTAACCTAGCTTCCTTGATCTGGAGTTGTTGTAAAAGTTGTTGGGCATTGAATCACAGGGATCTCTTCAACTGGTTGCCTTCTACCCACCGTCTAGTTCCCATAGTATAAATGTGAACAGTATTGAAATTAAGGAGGTATTAAATCATTTTCGGGATATTGGAATACTGTTGAAAATGTCTCCCTTTCCTAATTACTGCTTTGTGCAACCTATCAGTTGTGCAAGGAGTCTGTATGGGATTCCTGCATTCCAGTATCTTTTTAAACAGCTGCCACTGATCTTTTCACCTGCATAAAATGAAAAGGTTTATACTGTGCCACTTCTAACTCTGCCCGTGCAAAGCCATGGTTTTGTGTGACTGGGCTTTGTAAAATGGCTGCAGAAAGAGCCTTTCCCTTAGCAGCAACTTTCCCTACCTGGTGCTTTCCAGACAGGTTGGACTACAACTCCCATTGTTCCTGGCCACCAAAGCCCACTGGGAATTACAGCCCAACACATCTCCAAAGTCCCAGGTTATGAGACGATTGCCTTCCATTACCTTTATGTTCCCACGTATGGCACCTATTGAGTATAATGTTCACTAGACATTTTGAGAGCAACGTTGCTTTTCCCTTTTGACAGATGGAATTGTGGTGGTTGTCGCAGTCATAAAAGACCCGAAGCCTGATCCTAAGCATGTTTACTCAGAAGTAAGATCCACCGAGTTCAGTGTGCCTGGTAAGTGTGCTTCTGTGGTCTGTATAGCACAGTCTCAGGTGCTCAGCTCAGGAATTATGGTCAATGTCTAAGAAAGCTCAGACTTTTTTTTCCCCTAGAAATCAAGCAATACTGGTGAAGTGTAGAACAGAAATGAATTCCCAGGGCGCTGGATGCCTTTCCTGTAAAAAGTCCGGCATTCAAAGGGAAGAATTTGAAGCGCTTGAAGCATTTGATCACAATCCTAAAATATTGCAGTTTCACCATCCCAAATTTAGAATTTAACCATTTCACCCCATTTTATGTATTTCACTATATCAGCGCGGCACCTTTTATACCGAGGATTTACTCCATGTAGTCTAATTTATGTATTCTACTCCACCAAGGTCACTCCTTTCATACAGGAGAGCTTGAAAATTTGAAGGAATTTTACAGAGGAAGGAATTGGAAACCAGTTTCCTGAAATATGAGATCCCATTTAAATCTAAAAAGAGATATCGTGTGGAATTGGATGCTGTTGATCGGTTTCAAGTGTTCTCTTTAGTGTAGTTTGAAGTCTTTTGATACTATTCTGTGTTAAACACTACATGTTCCATGGGGATTACAAGTAATTTGATCCTCATTAACTAGCGTTCCTATCCTCCTGCCAGTTTGGTCAATCCAAGAGAAACTTTTTCCTTGTTTTAGCAAACAGGGAAATTCTTCTGAATGTTCCTTCACTGTGATCCATCATGTTCTTATCATCTGTCTCTTTAGCGAAGGTTTGGTTTTCAAGTAGTCAGGCTGTACTGTCACTTTTCAAGCATTTTGGAATAGAAAATGCTTCTAATTAGGAGTCAGAAAACCTGTGGTCCATCAGAAGTTTCATCATTCCTCACTATTGGTCTTGCTGGCTGGCACGGCTTGGAGTCAACATCTGGATGGTCACAGGTCTCATACCCTTGTTTGAGATAGACCTTTCTGTCTGATCCAGCAGGCCATCTTCATAATTGAGACATTTACATTCACATTTATCAGATTAACTCTTTACAGTTGCACAAATGACCGCCCGGAATATAGAGCAACAGAGACAAGGCCTGGCTGTTTGGTCAGATACTTTATTGAAAATGTTGCTGATTGGAAGCCAAGCAATTCCAACTAATTTCCTTCAGAAGATTTACTGCTCAGGCATGAATGGGAAGCCCAGCGTTATGTCTTACTGAGGTAGTACCTGTCTGGTTTGTGTACATGAAACTGCTGTAACAGGATCTGGTTTCATATTTCTCCATACAAATTGAGAATTGCATGATCCTCTTGATTGTTATCTACATATGATAGATCATCTGCCCCATTTCTACCCCCAAGATGGTTGCCCCCAAAGTAAGAGTTTCTCTTCAGATTCTTTCACTGTTGCCTTGCCTGCTTCTAGAAGTCTTTTGTCTGAGAGGAATGAATACTTTCTTATTCTCTCTCAATTCATGCCAAGATTCTCTGGAACATTCAACAAGAGCAGTTAAAAGTTCCACAGCTATTGCATGTTTACTCAATTCAGTAGGCTTCTGCTCTTTCTTGAACGGCTCTTTCGGGGGAAGATTAAAGTTTCCCTTAAAAAAAAGTTTTGTTGGCAGTGAGGAAGACCAAAATCTGTGTTGAACTATACCTTTTGTAAGATTTATAAAATACGTATAAGCTTCCAGATTTTCAAATGTGGACATTTGTTTTCTTCATCATCAAGATGGTAAAAAACCAGAACCAAAAGTGAGGGGAGAGAAACAGAGAGAGAACATTGGCTTGTATTCGAGCCAGATTTGTAGCAATTTACATTCTTCAATGGGGTGAAGAAGAAACTCCAAATTGTGTCCTGTTGGTGTGTCCTGTTGGTACCGTTCCCTTACATTTTCCACTGCTCACTCTGCAAAAGCGACAGATCTATATGCTTTGATCTATTCTATAATCACCCAATCCAGTCACACCTAACTGCATGTTTAACTCCCCAGTTGAAATCAACAGGACTTAGAAATCTCTGGTGAGCTACTGTTCTGCAGTTTTTCATTGAATATATATGTAGTAAATTTATAGATTAAGAAATGTATGTTTCTAGAGATTCTAGATGGGGATATTTATTTATTTATTTATTTTATTTATATGCTGCCCAACTCCCAATGACTTTGAGCAGCTCGCAAATAAAAGCATTTTTAAAAATAAAAACTAAAAAACAGCTCACAATGAAAAACAAAAATAAAGAATAGAATAGAATAGAATAGAATAGAATAGAATAGAATAGAATAGAATAGTTTATTGTCATTCCACTATATGCTATACACCAAGTGCATAATAAAATGAAATTCCATTGCAATTGGCTTACAATCATGATAGAGATGATAAGAACCGGACAGGAACGGGGAGAAAGAAAAGAAACAAACCCACACAATTCAAGGAGACTTCACTCACCCGCACCAAAGGCCTGGAGGAGAGCCGGGTCTTCAAGTCCCTTTGAAACACCAGAAGGGTTGAGGGCCTTGCAGATCTCAAGGGGAACCTCATTCCTAATATGTGGCATTGTTTAATCGAAGGAACCCAGAGCGCACCAACCCAGCCAGATCTGATCAGCTGGGCAGATACAATGGGAGACGGGTAGTCTCTCAAGTAACTAGGCCCTATGCCATGAATAAAATGGGACAGGGAAATCGATTTACGTTTTAAGATTATCTCTAACCCTTTAATCTAAATGTAAACTCCTTTTAGACTATACATCTCATTTCTTCTGTTATGGACTACAGCTACTGTTCTACTTGGGAATGAATCCCACTGTATTTGGTATGACCCATTTCCAAATAACCACCCTTAGAAACACAGCCTTAATACATTTGCCATAGTTATTTTGAAGGAAGATATACTCCATAGCTATCTTCCATTTTTCAGGATGGTGGCCAGATAGCCCCTTGATAAAATTTGCAGTTAAAATGTAAGAGTAATTAACTGAGGCACTGTCTTCCAAGGCTCCTGTTCGTGAGGTGAATTGGTCTAGTTCAAATCTCCATAGCTTTATTCTCTTAGTTCAAGCCTGCCTTTAACGGGAATCAGGCAAGGAGTTTCATGGCTGAATGGAAATCTGAATCCAAGTCTCCCATGCTTTAAATCAACCACTAGAATCGTGTTCAGTAAATACTCCATTCAGAGTATTGTTTAGATGGCCTCTTTTCAAGGTGCTCTTTCTGAGTTGTTTTCGTATTTTCAAATTTCAGTGTTTTCAGATTGATACCTGAAAGAGCAGATAGCGTTGCTTTAAAATGCAGTATTTTCTAGCACAGGAATGAATAGACTGTTTGAGCCTTACTTACCGTGATCACTAGCTCTTGGCCATGCTGACTGTGCTTGATGGGAGTTGAAGGCCAAATCACAGGATTGCCTATCCCTATTTTAGAAACTAGAAAGAGAGCACCCAGCAGGCTCTGTGTAGTATAATAAAGGCTGTGTCCCAAAAGTGGGTGGGGCCAGCCCCCCAACAACTGGGAAGATTTGGGTTTCATAAAGGGTGAAATGGGGCATTAAGACTCTCCAGTGTGTAGTGATCCAAGCGATTGCTCACACCTAGAATTTCCTGTTCTGCTCTCCAGACTCAACATGGGAGGTCAATGAGTAGAGCTCCTGTAGAAAGGTAACCTTGCTTCTGTAGCTCGGTGTGACTTACATATGAATAAGCCATCCAAATGCATGTTGTGGACATGTCCAGCTAGGGGGACAAGAGAAAAGGGAAAACAATTATCTTAATTTCCTGGAAGATTGCGTGCAATGAAATATTACTTCTTCATGATGGTACACTATGGATTTTGCTGGAAAAAATGAAATGGCTCCATTCCAAATCCATAATTTATCTGTGTGTCTGTACCAACTCTCTTGTTCAGTTGTTTTTATTTAAAGACTCCAGTTTACAGTGCTGTTGTACAGATTTAAGTTTTACAGGGCAGGGTGCTTATGTTGCTTATATTGTTCCTAATAACAATAAGAGAATTCCATTCAGAATGCATACTGAAGGCAGCAACCTGAAATCCCTCTTACATTTGTAAGCCTCATCTCTCATCTTTTCTCTGGGCTTGAGCTTGGATGCTAATTAATACTGTAGCATTTTGGATCAAATATTAATATGAAAGGTTATGTTTGGGGAGCATGGACAGAAGCATGTAAGATAAGTTATTGAATTATATGTCAAATCCCTAGCATCTAATTTAACATCCAACGGCTTTTCTTCTTGCTACACAGCATAGGCACTCCATTGATAGGGCCCATGGGAAGACTGAATTATGGGATCCAAATGTTAGCAATCAAACACGCATGGCCACATGAAATTTGCTTTGGTATATTAGTTATTGTTGAAAACTCCTGGGTGGTGAACTCTTAAAGCTGAAAGCATGATTATGGGATCACAAGTTACTTAGTTCCAGCTGTAATCTCACAAGCTCACCCAACTTTGTATGAACACCCATACCAACATTTCATGAAAAGCCAAAATCTTGTGAGTTTTGATGCTATGGCATGATTTTCACTGTAAAAAAATCTGTATTTAGTTTTGTGGACATCTTAGTCATGTTGCTTTTTGTGACAGCAGTATCAGCTTTTGTTTTAAGATTCCATCCACCTCAAAAAAAACTTCACTACCTGGCCTGAACAACTAGTTCTTTTTATTTTTATTTTTAAAATTTCCTTTTTGTTTGAGGCTAATGGTTGTAAAAACAAGGGGAAGAGGTGTTGCCTGGTCCTAATCCCCATCAGTCTTATTAAAAAATGACTTTAGTATTGAATTCTACCTTTGTATGTCCGCATCAATCCCTATACCACTGTATTATATGATCTACTGAATTTATTTTAAATATTTTGCTTTTCTTTTATTATTGTCCATTGGATGCAGTTCAGAAGTAAGCTTTCCCCACCCTGGGGGCAAATCCAAAGGATACACACACGCGCACACACACGTGCACACACAATCTAGTTCCCAAGGGTTCTGAGTCTATTGTTGGCTCAGTTAAATCAATGGGACACTTATG